CAAAAATTGAGGAAGAATAATTTTCATTACCATGGCTCCCAGCCCCAATAGGAGAGATGAACCCTGGGAGTCATAGGAAGGCAAATAGCCTCATTAACTCAGCTTAGACCCCAGATGGACCTTTGTAAATGAACAGATTTTGATTACAGATGTTTGATTCCTTCAAAGAAGTCAAAGGAAAGAAAAATTTCAATTTTGTTCACTATTCCTTCTCTTCCTCACTTGTCTGTTTTCTTTCCTTCAATGTAGAAGAGCTCAAGTGAAAATTAGTCTGTGACTATAAAGAAGGCTCTTCACCACCTTGTTCTGCATCTGGTTTAGCTCAGCCATGGGTAATGGAGCACACCTATTACATGGGGAGTTTCTAAAGAGTTCTGTGGCTGTGGCCTGACCTGACCATGACAGAGATCTCTACTTGTTTACGTTCCTTTTAGGCTTTGAAACCAAAGGCCTTTTGAGTGGTCAGGGAGCATGAGGACCCTGGGCCCACCCAGTATGCTCTACTTCCCCAGTGATAAAAGACCTTGTGGACCTACTGTACTTCAGTCTTCTTGCTGTCTGGGTCATAAGGAATTTGGCTGACTCTAGTGGCTAGAAGATAACTTCTAATCCCTTGGAATTTCCCTAAGTGATGGGAGTCTTTGTTGTGACTCATTTCAAGGGTGTCTACATTATGAGACCTCAGAAACACTCAGAACACTGAAACTAGGGTGATTCAATATTCTGATGTTTGTCACTTTTCAATATGCAAAGGAGACCATGTCCTTAGGAGGATGGAAGCTTTGCATTTAGAAATCTCTCAGACTTCCCTGTGCATCTCTTCTTTGCGCTGATTTTAATGTGCATCTCTTTGCTATAATAAATCTTAAGGATAAGTATAGTGCTTTCAGTGAGTTCTGTCAGTATTTTTAATAAGTCATGGGACTCAAGAGAGTTTGTGGGAGTCCCCAAATTCAAAGCTAGATAGGTGTTCAAAAGTGAGGGTAGCCCCAGAAACCCCTGAAGTTGCATCTGGTGTCAGAAGTGAGGGTAGTCTTGTGGAGGACAGTGGCCTTGGATTTTGTGGTTTGGGAAACTCAAAGTAGTGTCTTTCCTGAAGGTTCCAGCCACGCCTTTCTCTGCCAGTCAGAGAATTGGCCTAGGAAGCTCAGCTCTTGTCACACAGTAAATGACTTGAAGCTTTGTCCACATCTGTGAAATGCAAACTTCTCAATGATCAATTCTTTCAAGAATAACCTTGAAAGTCTAATTTTTCATAAACAAGATTGTCTCACTTGTCAAACAGTATCAGGTGCCCCTTCCACTGTTAGTAAAAGGGACAATAAAATATCAGTAAATGCAAAGCACAAGATTTGGTAATTGCTTCTTAAGTGCTACCACAGTCTTGGGAGCTAGGCACAGTTATTACCTTTCTTTTTACAGATGCGGACACTGAGGCTTGTGTGATGTAATTTGCTCAAAGTTGTAGATACAGAAAGGGGGAAAGCCAGGATCTGAACCTCAGTAGTGTGCATCCATTATGTGAACTTTCAAACTATCTGCCTTCAGAACACAGTGTTTCCAAGTGCACCAAGAGGCAAGTTTGATTTTGGAGCTGGTAGCTCTCTAAGTTATCCATGAAACAGATCCTTAGTGAACTTGGGTGCAAGAAATGCTAGGAAAGGAATGGAAAAAATGAAACAGGAAGGTAAGAGAGCAAAAGGTGGACACCTGGACTTGATTTTACCTGGGGACTCTGGATGTCTGAGTGGAATTTGCACCACTGTGGTGTCTACAAAATTATCCAGTGGTACTGATGCACCAAATCCTATCAGTTTATCCTTAAGACTGCTCCATTTCCAGCCTATCCTGGGCAGCCCTGGCTCTACTTGCTACAGAAATTCCAGAGCTGGAGAAGAAGGCTTTTCCCACACTATTCCTTAGGCCTGATGGGCTACAGGTGGAAACTAATGCGTCCCCTTACACATTCCTTGTAATTAAGCTTTAGTGACACAGAAACTGTCTCCCCTGTGCTGTCTGCTACAGTAGCCACATGTGACTATTTGAAGTGAAATTAATTAAAATTAAATAAAATTAAATATTCATTCTTTTAGTCACATTACCCACATTGCAAATGCTCGATAACCATATGTAGCTAGGGGCTACACAATTGAAAAATGCAGATATAGAACATTATAATCCATGCAGAAAGTTATGTGGTTCAGTGCTAGTGTGTGCACTGTTTTGTAGGAGCATTTTTGGAATAGAATATCATTTCTAGAAAGCAATTTGGAAAAAAAACTTTATAATTATTTATACCTGATTGTTCAAATAAATAGTCCTCCAATCGTCTATGAGCCAGTCATCTATGACAAAGGTAGGTCAACATGACATTATTTTCAATAACAACACACACACACACACACACACACACACACACACACACACACCCAGAAATAATTTAAGTACTCAATATTTAGGAGATCTAATTGAATTATATTTCAGCAAAGTGGAATGCTGTTCATTAAAAATATATTTTAAAAAGTTGAATAAGTTATGGAAATTCTGATATCAGGCAAAGTGCTGGAAGTAATGTAATAAAGATAACTATACTCTTCACTGGATGAAAACATATTTATAGGGTTTAAATTTTTTCTTTTATCTTATACGTTTTCCACATTTTTCAAACTGATAATGTTATTCCTTTAAGCATAAATAACATAAAAATATATACTTCACTTACATTCACAACTTTTTAGGTCTTTGAAATCTTAGTTTTCCTATCTAAGTCGTTGATAAATGCTATTGAATGAAACATGACTAGAAGTTGAATTGAGGGACAAGATATTGAAAATATTTCCCTGGGTTCAATTTAGCCTTATCAGAACTTTTCAGGAATGATTATTCAAACAATTTTAAATCTTCCACAGCATCCTAGCACCCAACCCATATGTCTTTATCTTGACCACAAGATGTTAATAAAATTTCTTCAACCTAGACTGAACTGGTTTGCTCACTCAATTTATTCAACAGATATTGACTGAGGAGCCATCCTGTCCCGAGCTAAACAGAAAACATGGGAGGGTTGTGCACACAAGAGGGAGACCTAGCTGGCCTTTCCCATAATGCAGCAGATGACCTCAGCATGGGGATGATGTGAGCAGCATGACAGTCTCCCTTTTCCAACTCTTCCTATGCAACCCTGGTCTGCTGATAGTCACACTATATATTTCTTTGGGTCATGATGCAAATGTTCTAAGTGCAAAGAGTTTTAATATAATACCACTCTTCTAAGGCATTCAAAGTCATGGTTTCCATTACAGGACTTCTTAAAGGAACTCTAGAAATAAATGTGCATTATTATCTCAAGCAATTGAATCACCAGTGTTGTTCTGCACCACAACTTTTACTACCACACATCACAATTTATTGTAAATCCCCCCCCCACATTTGATAGGGTTTGTATGAGCAGGTAATTGCCATATGAATTATGAATAGAGAAAAAATAATTTCTCCAGCCTTGAGGTTCCCCTATATTTTACAGTCTGCAGTTCTCTGTTTGATAATGATTAAAATTGTCACTGTGGTGAGGTTTGCTGACTCTTTCCTGCCTTGAGCTTCCTGTGTTAGCTCTTCCCAACGCAGTCCATTATTTTGCCATCCATTAATGGCTTCCCTCATGTCAGCCATAGTGCTAAGTACTGGAAATACGATGTTGGATAAGAAACAGTCCTTGCTCTGAAGAATTCAGCCTAATGGGGAAACCACAGATCTATAATCACTTTTATTTCTACATGAAGAATGTCACAACAGAGTCATCATATGATGCCATTGCACACATAATTCCTATTTTGTCATCTTCAATTTCTCCTAATACTTTATGCCTTAATTTTTTTTTTAAAAAAAGTGTCAGCACATAGTGATAAATCTCAGTCCAATAACTCAAGAGCACAAGACATAAATCTTTCATTGTTTCATAGCAATTTAATGTCGGGCTCTGAGTCCCAGTTCAATCAGACTAGGGAAAAAAAAAACAAAAACATACAACTTCAGTTTTCCTGGGATGCCCTCAATTTTATTCCCTAGAGCTGTGTCATAAATTCCATGACATGGGCACTGCTAAGCCATTGGGAGTGGAGGCCTAGGGCAAGGGGAAACCTGGCTCTTGCTCATTGGACACATAGTTTCCCATCACAATGTCCACAATTCTTATCAATGTGCTACTTAGGTCTACAGACTCCCACATCTGGGCCATGCTTGGGCACAAAAAAACTTGACCAAGACCTCCAGGGCATCCACTGGGCAAACTCAGGCTCAGCAATGCTCCAGAACACACTCTAAGCTGCAGAAGTATCTAAACTTCCTTTTGGGCTCAGGTTTTTGTTAAAAGCAACCCAAAACACCCATAATCATTTCTGGTTTCCACATTGCCATGTTCCTTCTCAGTGGCAGAGCCCAGCTGGGAGAGGGATGGCAGTGAAAGGAAGACTTGTGGGCTTGGGAATGACCCTAACACTCAAAGGAAATACCTCTGCCCGGCACTGTCTGCTCACCAGGTCCACCTGCAGACTTCTAGAAGCATCCTCCTTGAGTCCATGGCATGCAGCTCAAGCAGAGGCTCCAGAGTAGAGTCTTTCTTGTTTCTGGATTTGTGTTCTATCAGCCTTGCTTAATGCAGCAGTTCTGAGACCTAACTGCCCACTGCGACCAATTGGAAGAGCTTTTTAAAAATATTAATGCCTGTGATCCACTCTCTAGAGTTTCTCATTTAACCAAACTGGCGTGGAAGCTGAGTACTAGTTTTTTTTGTTTGTTTTTTGTTTTTTTTTTTTCTTTGCTTTGTTTTGTGTATTTAGTTTCCCATGGAGATTTATATGTGACTAGAGCTAAGAATGAGACCACTGCTATATTCATCCCTTCATGGATTTCCCAACCTCATTTTAATAACCTAGTCTGTGATTTTTAAACTTTTTCACATTATGCTATGCAGAGATTTATTTTATTTTTTTTCTGCTTGATAGGCTAAATGAGTGAGGTTACTAGAACTCACTGGTCATCTGAAAGAAGCTCCAACTGTGGCCAACAGATGGGTCCTGTTGGCAACCGGTATGCTGAGCACTGGGGAAGGGCAACTCTGGGATCACAAAGGCATCTGGCCCTGTCTCTACAACAGAAAATTGAATTCTCTTCAAAGCATATTCACACAGCAATGTACGTGCGTCAGTGCTTGGAATTTTAACTCAATGATCCTTGAGAGACTGCTATGAGCTGCAGTGCTCAGCCCATGAAACACAAGATGAAAAGACACAGTTGTCATTCTGTAAGGACCTCTGGCTGAAATGAGGATGAAAGTGCTTTCTTGGATGGTCTTGTTAAATATAACTCATTTTACTTATTTTACTAAGCCTGATAAAAAGGACATCTCATTGAACTAGCTATGTGTCAAATCACTTAGCATTTCTGAAATTTTCCTTCTTCATCTAGGACATGAGAGGATTTGACCAGATCTGGAAGATCCACATAGATTCCCACTATGCTAATGATATAGCAGGAAATGAGAATATAGTGAATGATTCTTCTGATGGTTTATTTGGCTCACAGTTTCACAGAACTCAATCCATAGATGGCTGACTCCATAGCTCTGGGCCCGAGATGAGGCAGAACATCATGACAGAAGGTCCCAGCAGAGGAATGCAACACAGACCATGACAGATAGGAAGCAGAGAGAGACTTCTCATCAGGAACAAAATATAAACCCCCAAGCCACAACCCAGGGACCTACTTCCTCCAGCCATACCACCTGCCTAAAGTTACCATCCAGTGAATCCATATCAGTGGATTAATCCACTGATTAGGGGACAAATCTCATAATCTAATCATTTCCATTCTGGGTGTTCTTGCATTGTCTTACACATGAGCTTTGGGGATCAACTCATATCTAAAATGATATTATTCAGTTTTAAAAAGGACAGTCTCTGATATACTTACAACATGCATGAAGCTAGAAAAAAATCATGTTAAATGGATTAAGTTAGATACAAAAGAACACATGTATGATTTTACTTGCATGCAGTACCTAGAAAAGTCAAGTCCATAGGAACAGAATGTCTAATTATGGTTACCAGAGGCTGGGGATCAAAGGTGGAGATGAAAGTTATTGTTTAATGAATACAGAGTTTCAGTTTAGAATGATGAAAAAGTCCTAAAACTGGATAATAGTTATTTTGGAATTAGTAATGTGAATTTACTTGATGCCACTGAATTGTACACTCAAAAACGGTTAAAAAGGTTAATTTTATACTATATATATTTTATCAAAAATGATTTGAGATGAATCAAGTTGCTACATTTTACATTCTAGACTTTATAAAAAAAGTATTTGTAAATATAAAATTACTGCCTTAAGTTCAGTGGTATGCACATGATTAGTTTTACAAAGTGCTATAAAATTTTTCTCAATAGTATAATTTGTGCATAATGATATTTTGGGATGGTTTGGAAACTGTCCTGCTGGGCCCTATAACTAAAAATAAATCATAATGAATCTTTCAATTGCTTCACAAATTTGCTCGAATGTAAGAATCTCTGAAAGTGATTAGAAATTCTTATGGGGCTCACCCCAATCCAATTGAATCAGAAAGGAATCTTGGAAAGGGATTGGGAATCAATATTTTTATGAAGTACTCTAGGGGGACTCATATTAGGTAAACTGGAAAATACATTTTTAAAATAAAATTCTGGATTAAACAGAGAGAAGCAGGAATCTGCATCAATCCTACATCCTTCAATAACACCTCTCTCCTTTCAAGCCTGAGTCTGCCCACCAGAAACAATGAAGGACAATATCCCTAATACCCTTCCCTAAAACTGGCACTGCCCTAAATTGCAAGTACTACAGCAGTGGCTAGAAACCTGCACCAAAAATAAAGCAATCAGATGGAAATAACCAAATATGAGATAGGGACAACTGGAGAGAAAGGATGATTTGATCAGTAGATGATGAAAGTAGGAGTAAGCCCATAGCTGGCTGACCTTCAATGCCCTTGGGCATCAATCCTACGTATTTGCCAGGAACAAGTTCCAGATGCCCATGTTTCAAGGTGGGTTCTATGTGCCAAGAAATTTGAATTGAAAAGTTCACTTTCTGCCTGAGATTATGGTGTTTGGGTTTTTTTTTATTTTAAGCTTTTCAAAGATTGCCTAATTTATGAAAAATTTCTTTTTCTTCCTTTCTTCCAAACTTCTCTCTCTTTATCCTGGGGTTTCATTTTTGTTCCCAAATGCAATCAAAGAATGGCAGAAGTGAGTAGGATTAGAATTAAGACTGAAATGTAGTTTTTTTTTTGAAAAAATGTTGATCATAAAATCATCTAAAAAGGAAAGGTATATCTTATTATAAGTATTATGGTCTTTATTTGCAGTGTGGTTATTTTTTCACTTATTCATTCTCATTCATAATAATCTTTTCCTCTCCTCTTTATTCTTCCCCATTTTCCACTTTTTCACTTGTTTGGTCCTGATGTGTGTGTGTGTGTGTGCGTGCGCGCACTCGTGCTCTCTCTCTCTTTCTCTGTCACACACACACACACACACACACACACACACAATTCAAATACACACCCTCAGACTTAGAGGCAATTGATGCACATTTTACAGTGTTGGCCAAAAGTAGCTTTCTGTTAACAATGCGTTTAAACATCCTGGCCTCTCTTCAGATGGTCCCAGGGCTGGCAGAAGTGTGATCATTGCTCACTCATTTTGTACCAATCTTGCAGAAAAACTACAGGCTCCAATGTCTTTTTTCCCTACATTTCCCATCGTGGTTTGAGTCACACTGCATTAAGAAAATTCACCACCTATGTCCACTTCTTCCTGAAGACATCTATAGAGTCAGACTCCCACCCGCTGGGGCAGATTAAAAAAGCCCAGCTTGGTTCTACCAGCTGAGCATTGCAGCAGGGTGCAGAAATCACCTAACACAGGTTCTAACAGATGTGGCTCTGAAGAAGCAGCTTAATAACTGTAATATTTTAATAACAAAAGTTCTTGCCACCATTCAGAGCTATAAAACAAGCAATTCTCACCTGTACTATACACATTGAGCTATGTAATAGGAATATTAAGTCAATGTCTATGCTACGTAAATGTTCATGCATTTTAGCTGAAGGAAAATAAAAGCCCTTAAAACACTAGAACTTTCTCACACACAGACTTTGAGTCCTTGACTTTGATTCAACATCTAAAGTCTAATGTAAGTATTATCATCTCTGCTTTAAAAATACTCTGGCAAATGTTTTTTCTGATTGGTACTGTTTCTTATAGGAGTTAAAAAAAAAAGTTAACAACAGAATTAAGTGTATTGAAATAGACATTATTGAGTACATATGCATATATAGCTACATACATGGGGATTTGTACTACTTTTCAGAAACTTCTACCTTCAAGAGTTGCCAGTGTGGGGCTGGGGTTATGGCTCAGCAAAGAGTGTTTGCCTAGCAAGTGTGGGACCCTGGGTTCCATTCTCAGCACCACATAAAAAGAATTGTCAGTGTTGGGGCTGGGGATGTAGGTCAGTTGGTAGAGTGTGTGTTTACCATGTATAGGCCCTGGTTCAATCCCCAGCACCAAACCAAAACAAAACAAAACAAAACAAAAGAGTTGCTGGTGTTAGCCCTCTGAGATCCAGCCTTTCAAACTTTATGCTTCCTGTACCCTGAGGGGCCCTCAGAGTCTTGCTCATCTTTCAATACTCACTGATAAATATGAATTCAGAATTGCCAGAACTTCAGATTTTTCAGGACAAACTCAAGATTTGTAAGCTCCTCCATTTTAAAATGAAATTAACTAAAAACCACTTCCCCAAACTGGATTCAGCTAGTGATCTCTCCTTTGATCTTCAGAGAGAGAGAAGGTGGAAGGAAAGCCTGTCCCCCGATGATATGCCAATATCACTGGTTATCTATTCTTTTTAAAACTCCAACTTTCCTAATAGTAAATGTAAAATTCTTTCTAGGGAAAAAATTCTGTTCCTTTTTTTTTTTTATCTTTCCCCCTGCTAGGAGTTGACAGGACCTCACAAATCCTGGAAAAGTGCTCTCCTACTGAGTTACATCCCTAGCCCTAATGTTGTTCTATATCAACAATCTATGAATTATAAATTAGTTCACATCAAACAGATTTTTTTAATCGAATACATGTCCACATTTTTTTCTTATTTTTGATTTGAATTTCTACATACAAATGTGTTAATTCATCTAAATATATATTTAGGCATGTGTAGCCTATGGCCCCTCATTAATTATTGCATAACTCCATTACCTCTTACTATTTGAAGTGTTCTCTTAATATGATAAATTTATTTCTGTAGATACAGGTATCTTTTGATTTAGTTCTTGGATCAAGAATATCACATCATCAGTATGAAACCTAATTTATGACTTCTCATATTATACACACATATTCTACACTTCCATGTGATAGTCAGGGATCCATAAAAACTAAGAAAAAGAAAGGAGAAAAAAGAAAAAAAATGAGACTTTGGATCAAGAACCCATCTTGTTCTTGTCAGAGACGATAACTGAACAGTGCTGTTAAATTTTAGCAAAATCTGGATGTGTGACTAGGAAGTCTTGGTATTTTAAGGTTGTCAGTTCTCTTAGAATTTATACATTCTAATTCACAGTCACAAAGGATTTTGTTTTTGACTTACTATGGTTCTATATTCACCTGGAAAAAATAAAAGTGAAAAGATATAGAAATGCTTGGCAGATGACTTGTATGATGTTAAGACATATTATACAATTATAATAAATATAAAAACATAGTATTAGAGCAAAAGAGAAGAGATCATCAGCCAATCAAAACAGAAAACCCAGAAATAGAAGTATACACAAGGTAGCATTAAGAAGATTTTTCAAAATTAGTAGCAAGACAAGAAATTATTTCACAAATTTTGCTGGGACAGTACCTCATATCACCTATAAAATCAATCCATTAGATGAGTTAAATATTTAAATGTTAAAAAAGAAAAATGAATTAAAATAAGATTATATAAAAACATTCAGACTCAGTGGCATACACTTGTAATCCCAGTAACTCTGGAGGCTAAGTCAGGAGGATCACAAGTTTGAGGCCAGTCTCAACAACTTAGTGAGGCCCTCAGCAACTCAGCAAGACCCTGTCTCAAAGTTAAAAAAAAATAAAATAAAAAGGGCTGGGGGTAGAACTCAATGGTAAAACACCTTGGGTTTAATTCCCACTATTCCCTCTCAAAAACGGTTACATAAAAACAAATGAATTTAACTACAGAATATAAAACACACACACACACACACACACACACACACACACACACACATATATATATAATATGCCTAAAACCAATAAAAATATAAATACACTAATAGAATAAAGAATTCATGTCACAAAAAGCTATACCAATTTATATTACCCTTAACAATGTGTAAGACAACATTTGACCTTACACTCTTGTTAATCCTTTTTCCCCATATTTTCCAGTACAATACGTGAAAATTATATTTAACTCAATTATTTTTATTACAAAGAATATGGTAAATTTTTAATTATAAAAATATTTAAAATTTTGTTTGAGAGATTAAGGCAAACATCTATTTTTTGTTGGTTTTCAAGAAGCAAGACATTAACCAATAGTTTCAACCATAAGAAATTACTGATCTTAGATTTTTGAATGTACAAAAATGGCAATATCAGAGCCAGGCTTGGTGGCTCATGCCTGCAATCTCAGCAGCTAGGGAGGCTGAGTCAGGAGGACCGTGAGTTCAAAGCCAACCTTAGCAACTGTGAGGTGCTAAGCAACTCAGTGAGACCCTGTCTCTAAATAAAATACAAAAAATAGGGCTGGGGATGTGGCTCAGTGGTGGAGTGCCCTGGTACCCTCTCCCCACCAAAAAATAAGTGGCAATGTCAGAAGGCTTAGCTTAAAGGATACTGAGAGCCTATTTGGATTCTTCACTTGTTTGGTATCTGCTAACTTTATAGATCTCACTGTTTTCCTAACTATGATGTATGGAAAATAAATTAAAAGTTGTATTTCCATAAATGTTAGAGAGATTGATTGAAATATCTATGTTGTTTTTTGTTGTTGTTGTTTTGTTTTTAATGAAGGAAAACTGGTGTTTATATGAATGTTTAGTAAAGGCCAAACTCCTTCCATCTCCAGTAACATTTACTTCAAGAAAGAATCATTTCTTGTAATTTATCTGATGTGGCTGCCTAAATATCCTTTTGAAGGCATGGAACACACTGTCAGTTTAATAACTGTCCCAAGCACACGTGTATGTATAAACTCTTAGCTCAACACTCCACACTCCTCTGTGCTCCTTTCACACTACCTCCTGGTATCTGCTACCATGTGGTCACTATTTCAGGCGGTGTAGTCTACTTTAAAGTCCCAAACATGACCTGTAATTCTGGCTCTTTGCTTTTAGTTTGTTATATCAATTCCCCTTCTTCTAGATCCTTCACTTATCTAAACCGTATCTATCATTCACATTCCAAATCAAGGCTTATTCATTTACAGGAGACTGTGGGGGAAGGCCAGTCCTTTCTAAAGTACTTTCTAAAGCACCCAAGATCCACTCTGTTAGATTCTGCTTGTCTATGTGTCTCACTTTCCTGATAAGCTTCAAACTTTCGTGTAGTACCATTCACTCAATTCTGGACTATTTGAACCATAAACATCTTGGTCACTAACGCATGCAAAGTATTTTAGTAAACTATTTCAATTTTCATTCCAACTGGCCTAGTGACAGTTGCAATGAGCATCAGCCCCAAGTACTTGAGACAGAAAGCTCCACTGTACTATGTGACAATCACTTCCCTAATTTTTTTTTACCTCAATTCTCCTTTTCCTCCAGTAGGATCTGACTTTGCTAAATGATTTTTCCCTTCAAGCGCAACCACCAGTGGAAGATGTTCTTTCCCAGGATGGGATAAGGCATTGATTCAGGAGAAGGCATATGCTGCCGGCAAAACTCTTCCAAATCTTTTTGTCATCTTGGCTTTTGGGCTTCAGGAAAATAATAACAAATATGCAAACAGAAAAAAAGTGGCAAGACATTTTCATGGTTTCTTAAGAAGTGCTTTTTTGTGGTTAATGCCTCTTTGTGTTATGCTGCCCCTGAAGATTATAAGTCATGTTCACAGCCTTGACTATTGTCTTTGGAGTTTTAACAAATTTATTAAATAAGACTTGCTCATAGTTAGGATGTCTACCTAAGTCATGTCTCTTCCTGGCCTTAATAAGATGAGGCCCTTTAATATTTAACATAGACTTCTTTTATTAAAGTTATATAACTTAAATAATGAGAACAGTTTGGTTGCAGCATTCACACATAAGGTTGTCATTAATTCCGTTTATTCTTTTATTTTTATTATTGTGTCTTAAAATATTTAAGAATGACATATGCCCTCACATTTTTGAACCCTTCAAATGTTTCTGAAACTCAGAGTAAGCTACCAGATATATTTTTTCTCATTTGACGTATTGTTTGCTCCTTGGTGTAGAAGACCACAATAATATATCAATAACTTATGTGAGAGGAAGTTCTAAGGTTGCTACTTGAAAGATATTACATTGCTTAGGGAGTGATTTTATTTTCTTAAAATATTCAAAAGAAAGTATGAGCAAAACCTATTTTTTATTTTATTATGTTTGTTATGAGGTTATAATTTGATAACTGTCCTGTTTTTACCAAAACTAAACTTAGATTAAAAATCTGCAAATGAAAAAAAAATAATATGTGTTTAGTTCCAAGTACTCATTTTATTTTCAAATTTCTGTTTACCCATCAGTGACTGACTGCAAGGCCGTATTTTCTGCTCTGCATACCTTTTCATCCTGGAGGTTAGAGAATTACCCACCCACCCACCCCCATCTCCTTACTTTTCTATTTTTTTCTAAGTCCTACTCTTCACAAGGAAGTCAGAAGTGTGACAGAAAGGTGTGATTTTTAATTTACACCAGAGTCTCGCAAATAATGACTTTTCACACCCTGATATTGCTGCTTAGCCTAGGGGAGGAGCTCTGTGGCTACTGTTTGTCGTAGCAAATTAAATCCACTGCTGTAATTCAGGAAGACATTCTTCTATATTTAACCCTTGTTTTCAACTTGTGTTTGTGAATACTTACGAGTGTATGGCTTATTACTTTGAAGTATGCTTGTTTTCTAGGAAATCATTTTTGGAGACTGTTATTGTTAGATTGTCAAGTTTGAAGGGAAACTTCTTTCTCCTTTCTACTGTTCTCACAGTGATGGTGGTAATTGTAACTTATTTAAATATTCAAAAATGAAGACTATGACAGTATTTACTTTTAAGACTTCCAGCAATAAAATTGAACTACATAGTCCAACACATACTTTTATTTTTTATTTTATACTTTATATTTATTTTTTATTTTATATCTTTATAGATTAAATATTTAACATTTATAAATTAAATATCTTACATATATATTTATATTTTATTCCATTCCTCCAAGAGTAATTTTTCTCTCTGTCTTTACAGAATGGTCAGTATTTTACTATACTAATAAATATCATTGAAATTGAATATAATGTTGAAAAAATAAAATGTTTAAAGTTTTTTTCAGTTTCTGCCCAATCCATTAGAAGTCTTTTGTACTGAATTGTAAAAAATAAATGATCTGCTTAAGGACAATAGGAAAAATTATTAATTTTTTTAAATAAGAAAAATCATTGAAATCAGTATACTAGATGGCTGCAGAATAATAGCCTGTACAAGAACAATAAGAAATAGATCTTGAAAATTCTGTGTACACCTCTCTCACTTAGACAAATATTAGAAGAATTTAATTATTTTCTAATTCTAAGTCTGCCCAACTAAGTAGAAAAGAGAAATCAGTGTTTGAGTTCATCCTAGTTCCCTTACCAATCATAATGGTGTTTAGTGAGTTCTAGAACTGAATGGGTTTTGAGTGGTATTGGAAGAAAGGGCAGATACTCTCAGATTCTCCTGAGGCTCCTCTTGCTAAAGCAGACCATGAGCAGGGGCTGCGAGCTCTATCTCCAGGCTGGGAGCAGCAAGGGGTTAAACAGTCCTGGTGTAATAAGTATCTCTGTCAGGCTTTCTTCTGATCCTTCCTCTTTTCTCTTCTGCCCACCCTTTTTGTAAATGTCAACCACTTCCTGATGGTTTCACACCTTTCTTTTCTTTGTGAAGAAACCTGGGTGTACCATTGTATGTTCTGGCTGGCCGTGAGTAAAGCTGAGGGATGCCTGTGGGGAAAAGTAGGAGCAGGTGAAGATATTTTAAAAATGAGACCAGGCAATGGGTTAAAATCAGTCATGTTTGTAACATGCCTGTTAGTTTTCTTAGCAACTTTTAAATATGTATTATAAAAATATTCATTTTTTAAAAAAAGCTTAATGTTGGGAGTCTAAAGGAATCTAGCAGAAGAACGAGATGGTTCTTTTTTAAATATATCAAAGAACGATAATCAGGAAAAAACAAGAACAACAACACTGGAGAATCCTTCCCTGGCCTTTTACTCTACAGGTGTACTATTTATAGGATCCTGCAATGGAAACTTGGTCAGTTGATCAGGTCTGCCTTTGGCTGGTGGAGAAAAACTTAGGAGAGCTAGTGCCTAGGTTTCAAGGTGAGTTGTTCACCCTTTTAAAAATCTTATTTGAGCAGCCTGGATATTGTGAGTTTCTTCTGTTATTAAAAATTACTTTGCTGCTTCATGTCTGTGTGTATGTAAATGTGGACGTGGAATTACTGCAGTAAAGAACTTTTTAGTTCTTTATTTACCATGAAAGAGTTTTTATTTTACCTAGTATCTACAGGAGAAGATATAGCAAGATGAACTCAGTCTTGAGAGGGACTTAAAATACTTATTTGGTACTTATATTTAATATAGACTTTGCCTTATGTAATCTAGTATGTGCAATGTTAAATTAATAAGTATTTAATATTGGTCAGGAGGTATTACTAAGAATTATTTCCCAAAAAGTTTTTTTTCTTTATAAAAATAATGCATGTTACATGGGGCAGGAGGCAGGAAGGGAGGGGGGGAAGTGCTGGGGAGTGATATTGGCCAATTTATATTGTTATATTTACGCATGAATGAATATGTAACAGCAAATCCTATCATTATATACAACTATAATGCACCAACAAAAATATGAAGAAAATAAAAATACTGCAATTTAGAATTAGAATGGGGAAAGGGCATTAATGAGTAAATACAAAGTTTTTATTGTGAATCCCTTTCCTGGTTCTTTTTTAGAAGCAGACATCAATTTGGAATTGTGCAATATCAAAGTTATATTTTTGTCAAAGATACATACAATTTTATAACCACAGAAAACAAGTTTAGACAATCCTTTCAACACCAGAAATAGTTCTGTTTATAAAGCTTGTGTTTTGCTGTGTTTTACTGGGAAACCATATAGAAACTAATTTTTATCTGTTTCTCAGAGGAAGAAGTAAGTGGGGCCGCTCTTCTAGCACTTAACGATCGGATGGTTCAGCAACTGGTCAAGAAAATTGGGCATCAGGCTGTTCTGATGGACTTAATTAAAAGATACAAGCAGAACAATCAAGGACCAAGGTTTCCTGGAAGCCCCAGGGAGATAAGCCTGATCACACAAGCAGAAGCAACCCCAGCGTAAGTGATGTTAACAAAAGGCCTTGTTTTTGATACTATGCTCTCCCAAGAATGGCCAGAGCATGAAGGTTGGGGTTTAAAACTTTTTGGAAAATGTGACCATGTTCAGCTAGATTTATGGGTAAAAATATTTCTAATATTTGAGGAAAGGGCACTCTGCAAAATTTTACGAATCAAGATACATCATGTTTTTTTTCACCACGCTTTAAACACTGACTCCAATTGGTGAAGTCCTAAAAGGAGGGGGTTCCTAAATAAAATGCTGTAGGATGAGCAGCGGAAATATAAGTGAAAAAGTGGAAATGAATTCCTGGAAATAAGATTTTAATCCACTAAGCCCCATTGTCCCAGATGTGGGACGCCTATAAAAACTTAAATTGAGCAACAAATATACCACTTAAAGTAACTTTTGAAATAAATATTATGTTTTTAGAGTTCTGTACTTTTGAGAAAAACAATAATTGAATGATTAGAGCACTTGAAAATGCACATACAAAGAATTTAAGTTCTAGATTGTGATTTCCAACCTATTTTAATGTGTTGAATTTGATGAAATTTTTGCAGGTCTGAAAACTTGGGACTTACGAGTTAAAAACCAGGGCTTGCAAAAGGCATCCATGTCTGCTCCTGAGTATTTATTTATGCATTTGTGTCCTTTAGGACCCTATATAGTGACTAATATATACTATCCTCTAGAGGTCTTAGAAAAATGATTTACTAACCATTCTTGCCACAATGAGTTTCCTAATTCTTTAAGAGTATCCTTAGAATAATTAATGCTATGAAAGCACCCCACAGGAAACATGTGGAAACATTTGTGGTGGCCCATAAAAGGCCTTGGTTTTGATCCTATGCTTTCCCAAGAATGGCTATAGCATGAAGATTGGGGTTTTTTTTTTTATCACTGATTTATGCATTAAAAAAATGACAACAGAATTAAGCAAATTAATTTTTTTTATTTTACAAATCTATATCCAGGATGCTTTCAGGCATTCTGATTTGATGTTTCCTTATTAAGAACTTTTTGCAAAATTTTTGAAATGAAATACTTGCTTCAGACCAATCATTCATTTAAAAATAAGGTTGTCATGTTTGATGATATCCATTCTATTTTTTATCTTTTTGGAAGTTAAATGGGTAATTCCCTCTTTCTCTTTGATAAGGAATACAATATTAATGAGAATTGGCTCAAGTATTGATTTCTAGGATTTTTGAATATTTGAGACTTAAAAGCTATAGGTAGTCTTGAAGGGCTGGTGTACATGGTCTATAAATTCTCCCAAATGATTTATTTGAAGGATTTCTAAGCACCATTATGGTGTATTCTCGAACATATGACTTTTGGAGAAGTTCCCATTGCAAGCTTTTACTACTGTCCAGCAAAAGAGAGGGTGGAAGTTCAAAGCTGGTGCAAAGTAATTTCCGGGCATTTTTGATGAGTAGAACTTTTGAACTGGAAGTTCCTCTCAGTTGACTGGAATCTTGATATTGCCTTAGGCACAGCTTAGAAGAGAACAGGCATCCGTTTTTTTCCACTGCAAATCAGTTTATAATGTTCTCTAGTAAATGAGAGTTGGCTGGATTGCCAGGAAATCTGGGCTTCGTTCCTGGTTCTTCCACTGACTTGGATTGATTTTACTAAATGTTGGCACCCCTGTCTCTTCATCTGCACGTTGTGAAAGTAATATAATACCTAACTCCTGTCAATTCACACTCATGTCAGGAGTATTGTAATTTCTGGACAGAGCAAATCTCTCTTCACTTTCCCCACTCAAAAACAGTGCTTTGTTAACTTGTCCAAGAAGGCTATTTTTGAGGGTAGCCAATACTGGGAACACTGGTTGCCCAAGGATTTAGGAGGGGGTACTCATCACTTTACATAGTAAATAGCCAACTCACTTTAAGGATTGTGTTCTCTTGTACTTAGGTTAGATTATTCAGGTGTAAAATTACAATTTCATGCGAGAAGAGAATGTTTGTTGGTTATGTTTGCTTATTGTCAAATATATTTGTCAAATATATCGTCACTTGACAAGTTTGTTGTCAAGTAGGAATGATAGCAGAGAAACATGAAAATATGCCCTTTAATTAAACCCTTATGGGAAATGCTTATAAAGATTCGAAACTTGGTATGAGAAAGAACCCGGAATTTAGGTATCAAAATACCTGCTTTCAAACCTCTGTTAGGATATTTGCTACTCATCTAACAAAAGAAGATAAAACTTGGACATTTGTTTGACTTGTTTTAGTTTTAGCTTCTTCAAGTGTAAAATGTAGTGGGTAAAATAAATGATGCTTTTGGCCCCTTCTGAAGAGTCTGTAAAGGCATTCCAGATCAGAGACAGGTTTCAGATTCCATTTAATGGCCAATGGTTGCCTGGTATGTTATTTTTGCAAAGGATTTTTGACATTCTATTTAGAACTAAGCAAACAATAGGATATCAATAGGAGAGTATTTACAGTTACTTTATGCTGGCCTTGTTGAATCTGGTAGAAAAATTACTGGACAGGAAATCAGGAAAACTGAGTACAAATCTTGGCACTACTACTGAGTAGCTTGTGGCCACGAACAACTTGCTTTCCTTTCTGGACTTCAGTTGTATAGCTTAGAAAACGAGAGGGTATGGCTCTAAGAATGATGAGATTTTACAGGTAATAAATGCTCCCCCCAAATGGCAAGGAGTGGAGAAAGGATCTGACAGGTAACCATTTTATTTTGCTAAATAAGTATATTAGCCATATGTACTATTATCACTCTCATTTCATAAATGAAAAGATTATCTTAACAGCATTTAAAAATAAGACAGATTGAGGGCTCCAGGCATAGCTCAGTTCCATTCCCAGTTCCAGGAAGAAAATACAACAGATTGGTGAAAACACCCTCACAAACTGGTATCTGTATACTTCTTAGCATATAGAATACACTGAGGGAGACGTCTTCAGTAGGTCCTCCCTTTTAGTCATGAGTCTCACATGAGCTTGGACAGGAACTCAGATCACAGCATGTACTGTGGGTTGACCCCTTACCCTCAGAGCTGCTGTGAGGTCAATGTTTGGGGCTGTCATTGAATAGCCTCACACCAGTTCTTCCTTCTTTTCTTGGTTCCAGGGATATACAGTCCTCCAGTCCAGCCAGTCATGGGGAGCAGAGGCCGTCTTTCCATCCAGCTGAAAACCTTGATAATGGACTAATTGACCAAAGAGTATTGAAACAGAGGTGAGGTACCAAAGTTAAAACACTTCAAAGCTAAATGATAATATTCTTCTTTATTTGTGATGAGATTTCATGTGTTTAAAATGCATTTCTAATTTGAAACTCTTTGTTTCCCTAGAAGGAAACTTTTTAGTAAGTGATAAAGATGTTTAGTACCACTTGAAGATTAAATTTTATGTGTTTTGCCCTAAAAAAAATTGAAGTTTTGAAGTGATGTTATACATCTCTTTCAAGTATGCATTTTAAGGAAAAATAAAAGAGGATTTCATAAACTTGTCCAAATTAATTTGCAGTGGCTACAAAACGATGGAATTTATTCTGTGGATAATGTTCTATAGAATATGTCTTGGGTACAGTCTTTGCTTTGTTTTGAATTTTGATGTTGTTGCTTTAATTTGACTATTGAGAGACAGTCCCTTTATGTTCCTATTCTGTATTTTATATGGTATAATATTTCAGTGTATTGGTTCCATCGAAACAAAGGAAAGTTCTAGACGTAGAGAACCACACGTAGGAATATAGTGCTCAGATAAAGTCATCAGAGTGATCATTGGTAAGAGGAGCTTCCTGAGCCTTTCATGGCCACCAAGCAGTGCATGCATCTATCATGCATGACAGATATCATCTCTTGTCACTAACTAGCCAACACTGCTCTTCAGGGGCACTGTCATTGTCTGGCTTGCACAGAGGGGACAGCCAGGCAACAGCCAAGCAAAATGGTGTTCTTTTAAAGTTTTCATGCACCCTTTATTCTATCGTCTCATTGAGTCCCCAGAGCCTTGAAATGCTGTTCTTTTAAAAAGTAGGTAGTGTAAAATAAAAATATGCTATTGTTCGCTGAATTTTTGAGAATCATATTGCTAGGGAGGCCTCTTTCCTTCAGAGAACTGTGGTGCCACTGTGTACCCATAGTGTAACACAATCGGTTTCCCTGAAAGAGAAGATGCAAAGAAAGGAGCAGAAAAGTATATCAAACGGGAATGGCAGAAAGGAAGATGTCTGTTGTTTCATGAAATACATCAGGAAGTCCAGAGAAGGCTATTTATTGGTTCCTGATTCCCATTGGGTTAAAAATCCAGAGATGAATTTCTCTTTTCAAAGTAAGAAAATTAAATCTAAATGAAAGGCACAAATGTATGGCTAGTGGATTTATCTCCAAACAGAATATAAACCAAAAGTGATGGCTTGGGGACAGGAATTTTCAAATAATTTCTTTATTGGAAATATATTTTTAAAAAACCCCACCGTCTTTAATGGAAGTCTGAGAGTTTAGAGAATCCTAAAGGATGATGATAAAGTTCAAGATGATTACTAGGTGGTGGGGGGCCTGGGTGAGCAACCATTTCATACTGGGCAGATGGAGTCTCAGGGGCTGCAGAGCTGGGGAATGGAGAGATCACCTGATGTGGTTGATGGTGCAAACTGTTTGACAGAGCAGTCACTCCTTTCTGCCCAGAGGGGCTTGTTGATTCTTAGAACTCTACTTTGTGGTGGCTCCAGCCATGAGTTTTCTACTACTCCTTTCTTACATGAAACTGCTAAATGCAGCCAGTCTTTTCTGCCACTATTGAAGTGTGAATGGAGACAGGATGATTAATCCTAGTGGGACCTACTCTGGTACCACTGTTTCAGATCTGAAAAACAGGGATGATAAAGATCTTTTCTCAGGGTGCTATCATCAGCATGAAAATAGATGATACCTGCTGAGTTCCAAGCAGAGTGGAAGCACATCAAAGGCCCTGGTGTACAGCCATTTCCCCAGTCTGCTTGAGTATTCCTACTTGTCCTGGGGCATCTTTTCTCTCCCTACCTGCTGCCATTGGGAGATGAGGATGTGACCTTCTGTACATGAAGGTCTTTTCTCCTTCCAGAATTCCTGTTCCTTATAACTGTGCTATGATACTGGGAGAAAGGATTATTATTTCCATTTTTTTCCACAAAACTGAACAAAGAATGGCCTGTGTTTCATGATATTTCTCATTCTTCATAACCAACGAGGGGGAACAAAACAACAGGATTGCCTTAGAAACTGAGAGAAATGGGAAGGTTTGGAAATCATAACTGAGACCCCCAGGCCTTTTTCTCTCATCACAGCGTCTCTCCTAAGCCTTGGACTTGTGCCTCTGACCTCCCTTCGCCCATTTCTCTACACAACAGCCTCAGTTGTTTCAAAAGCGAGCTCACCTCCCTGCCTTAGAGCATGCATGGTTGGAGCGCCTCTCTGTTGTTTCCCATCTACCTCCTTCCTTTGCTTCTTCCTATGCAGATGGCTTTACCCTTTGCTCTGCTCCCCTCAGACTGGCTGGCACAGCTGACTTGCCACCTCCGACTCCAAAGGAAACTCTCCCTGAGATCAGCTAAGGGCTCAAGTCCTTCCTGTCAATAGACCTGACTTTCCAATGCTGCTTCATTCTAGAATCTGGGGAAAAGAAACAGGCCCAGTGTGAATCTCTGTGACAGAAGGTGGAGGTGGATAAGGGCAGGATAGAGATGCCTATTTTAAATATTTCCCCTCAGGAAATCTGCCTTCTCTCTAGGTCTGCTGATTGGGCTGGAATGGAAGATTCTGTCCCTTCTGATATACTGCCTCATTCAGGACACCATCTGGCTTGTGAGCTAAAATAATGAGAGCTAAACTTGATGCTTCCCTCCTGGTCCTCTGCTTAGGGCACTATGTACTCAACAGTTATTGATGAAGGGCTTCTTGAACAACTTTTGTATGAGGCTGGGTTCCTCACCTAAGACCCGCTTATCCTTTAAGACTGCTCGAAATCCCTCTCCAGCAAGCCTCCAGAGATGTTCCAAACCATTCAAGGAGCCCTTCTCTATGTAGTACTCTCTATGTATTTTTGCTTTGCTTGTAAAAGTAGATATTGAAATTGATTACTTTTAAGTCTGTATTTCCTCCTTAGACACAAGCACCATAAAAACTAAGACCATTTCCTTTTGCTTTTATAAACTAGTATTTATCTCAGCTTCTGGACTAGAAGCTCAATCAGATGTTTAAAATTGAACTAAGGATATGTGAGCCAAAGAAAGATTGAATATGATTTCATGGGACAGGAAAAATACTTAAATAGCCTCTATTACTATATAGACTTTTTGATACAATCCATAATACATATGTTAATTTTTTTAGCAGAGTTGAATTTAACGGGTTAATAAATCATTTACCTACATCAGGCTAAAAAGCTGAAGGTATTTGGCCAGAGGGCTTCCACAAAGCCAACTGCTTTCAGGAGGTAGAAAGGGATAGTAGAGAAAATGCTGGCCTTGGGGTCATCTCTAGACTCCCCGGTTTACTTTGCACCACATGAGATGGAACCACCCATCTTGATATATAGTCTCTGAATTCCAAATGAAATAGCTATCAAAGCATCTTGCAGCTGTCACCACACCACACACAGTGGCAGTTACCATTCTTGAGATATTTCCCCCTATGTTCCTTGAAAGGAACATACGTTTTCCATCCAGACAATTTGCAAACAAAAAGAAAAAAGAAGACTCTGGAGACTGGAAAGTCACCTGACTTTGGCTCTTGAAGAGTCTAGCAATAGTGAAAAAATGAGGTATGTGTGTCCCCGTGGATGAACTGGAAAGAAACGCTAGCATGCTGTAGCACACACAATGCAGCTTTCTTTGGTGATGGGTGACCTGTGCTCTTTACTGAATTACCTAAATACTCTTTCTGGATACAAGGATTGTGGGTCCCAACCTCATCATGTGTTGGGAGTCCTTCAAGAAGAGCTTTCTCTGCATTGAGATTCTTTTTTCTTTTCTTCTTCTTCTTCTTCTTTTTAAATCTACCCTATTAGAAACTGCTCGCTTCTCCTTTGGTAGCTAATAGTGCATAAAATCAGATAAACAGGTAGCAGTTTCCTACATGTTACTTTAAAGGCACTTCATTTGAACTTGAAGTATATGTGTGCAGATGTTTTGCTTGTGCTTTGGGGCATAGCTATAAATTAGTCATGGTTTCATGCATATTTAAAAATTCTTTTAATGATGAGGAATTTTTTTTTCCTCTTTGGTCTGACTACTGCTATGAAATGGTGTAAAGGGAGATTACCATTTTTCAGCCTATGCTCAGTAAGTGAAGAAATGTCAATGGATCTTCAACACATTCAGTGCATTATTTTTAGTCACTCTCACACAGGTAGCTCAGACAAGGGATGACAGGGTTGTGTGTGCCTCCTATTCCAGTATATAAGAAAAGGTAGATTTAGGAGGGGGAGGCAGGCTAGTTTCAGGTCTCATAGTACAAGTTTCCATTAGATGTGTAAGATTAGTCTTCTCAATTCCTACATGTCTAGGTCCTCTATTAGCCGAGAGCTCTAGGAGGTGGGGGTGTCAGGGACCACTCTTACTCACTTCTGTAGGGCCTGACATGACACAGAGTAGGTGATCAACAGATGTTTATTACATGAAGAATCAGATGTATTAAGCATTTTTTTGTGATCTTCTCCTGAGTCAAAGATATGTGACCATAATAGAGAATGAAGGAGCCTTGTAAGAGAACAAGGGGTGAGACATGATATCTTCAGACCTATTGCCTTAGTCACAGCTATATAAGGCAGATGGGGCAGGTAAGAGGTAAGTGCAGGTATTGAACCAGGATGGCATCCTGGTTATAGCCAGGTTGGTAAATTTGGAGACACAGGATAAGCAGGTAATTAAGAGTTTAGTTTTAAACCCTAGCTCTGCTGTTTACCAGATGAGTGATGCTAAGCAAGTTCTCCAGCCTCAGGGAGCCTTACTTTTCCCATCTGTAAAATAAATAGAAGAACAAGTTAATGTATTAAAAAAAAATTTTTAAGGCCTGGGGCGTAGTATGAACACATAAATCTTAGCTATCATTTTTATTTTCTGGCTGGTTACCAAGCATAAGGTTCAATGAGACTCAAAAATTCTGCTCTCGATTGTAAAAAGTGGTCCCAGGGATTGCACCAGGAAGTTCTGTCAGACAGCACAGACAGCAGTGTCTGGAAATCCGGCCAGGACTC